GTTAGTCGGTAAGTGTTTTTGTGGTTGGATATGCTGATGAATTTCATGTTGACTAGCATCAGTGGTGCTTCAGCATCTCCTTCCTGCTAATCACTCTTTACAGGAAGTCGGCGTATGATTGACGTGATGGATGTGTCTACTCAGAAGGGGACGGAGATGTCAATGATGCAATGGAAGAGCTATTATGCGACTCCTCCCTCTCAGAGAGAGAAGCTTTATAATGTTATCAGCCTTGAATTTAGCCACACTAAACTAGAGAGCTATGTCAAAAGACCTACCACGGTAGGTACCTTAACACTTAAGACAAACCAAAAAATACATATATTTAGACCAGTGTGTGATAGTCAGATTATTTATCCATGTTGTCACAGGTGGACATGATTGACTGGGTGGACAACATGTGGCCAAGACACTTAAAGGAAAGACAAAGAGATGCCACAAACTCTATCACTGACATGCAATACCCCAAAGTGCAGAAGTAAGCATATATTAGATCCTTCAATAGAGTCTATATTAATGAATGCTCGCTCTTATCTTACATCTTGTAAAGGCTTTAAAACAAAAAGGGTCAGTTCACAAGGAAATAAGCCTGCTGCATTAACTTCATGTCCCATTTCTCACACAGCTCTCTTTGTTAATTTTTGTTATTCTTCAGCAAAACAGTAATTTTCCCCTATTTCAAATTTGCCTGTTTCCAGGTACTGCCTAATGAGCGTGCAGGGCTGTTACACAGATTTCCACATAGACTTTGGAGGCACATCTGTGTGGTACCACATACTGCGGGGCTGCAAGGTCAGAGAACACTGTATATATACTAGGGGTGTAAAGATATACCAATCAAATGTTTCGGTTCATATCACCGTTTTGGAGCCACGGTTCGTTTTGCTGTGGGGGTAGGGTTCATGGCATGGCACCAGCAATGCTATAGAACACTAGATTCACTTTCATTTTTTTTTTTTTATCAATAATATTGAATAATGATAACAATAATTGCTCTCTGTTAGTTCATTAATTAATGCACTAACAAATGGGGGTGTAACGATTAAACGATATGGATCGATACATCGATACGATGTCTGACGATACTATGCATCGATGCCACACGTAAAATATCGATGTCTGTTGTATAAATAGGCACCTTTATTTTGGCACTGTCCAAATTTTCACATAATGTCCGTCTATGCATTACCGCCAACGCGTGCATCCTCGTTCAAACTCGCGTATCAGGACCCGATATAAGGACTGCCCGAAGGCACAAGGTGAATATAAAAGATGCTCGGGGTTGTCTACACGGTGCAAATACTAAATTGAGCTCTGTTCCGCTTTTTTTGTGCATGGATGAATAAATAGAGACAAAATTACATCAAAATGTGCCTTTAGGCGAATATCCTAGTAAACACATTCGGTTAGGCATATGTCTTAACATAACAGTTGAGAAAGAAAAGGCATGTGTATCAGTATATTAAATCCGTGCTTCGTTCTTAAAGTGAAAGCCAACTAATAATAAATCTAATGCTGTCAAAGAAAAATGCAAGTGCTCACTGCTCTTGACTAAACCTTTGTAACATCAAAAATGATTAATCTATATTTAATTTATACAGTGAAGACTATGCAGTTATTTTACATTTGATTATTAAATTTCTGTAGCATAGGGCCTACCTGAAAATTTCTTTTAGATTGAGCTGAAAAACCTGAAAAACACTGTTTATTGAACTTGTGTCTTTGTTGTATTGTATTTAATTTCTGCTATTGCTTGTAATTTGGTTATCTGTAGAAAAGATTTTTAGCACTGAGCCCATAGTAGCAGCCATAATTGTTTTTCCAGTTTATTTTCTTTATTATTTAAAAAAAAAAATGTGTAGGACAATTTTTTTGTTGTTGTGAATGTCCCAATTGAGGTACAGGATGTGAAAATTTCAGATAAATGTTCATGTTATATATTTTGGTTGCATTTGTGAGTTAATAAAAATGTAGATGGTTGTTTAAAATAGATATATAATATCATTATATCGATTGATATACTCCTGAATCGAATCGTATCGTATAATTTTTTAAGGTATCGGCAAATATCGTATCGCTGGGTACAAGAATCGATATTGTATCGTGACGAACCATCCGATTTACACCCCTACTCACAAATAAGACTTTAAAAATGGTTGATTTGTAAAGTGTTACCAAAAATGTATAAATTTTTTAAAAATAAAATAATGCCTAAATAATGCAAACTAGTCATTGGACATTAGTTGGACAACTAGACATTATACTTGGGCTACATATAAAAATGCATGTAAACTCAGTCTGACACTTGAGAGTCGCAAGCTGTTTAAGAGGTGGCATCTCTCAGAGAGCGCGCGAGTACTTTATGGGTTAAAATAGCTTGATTGTTTAAATTGGCGTGACATATGATGTGCAAGTCACAATTCCGTCAACTATCCGAAATGTGGGCTAGTCTTGTATTGCAGCTTGCTTGCAGAGCAAACTCAATGTGGATATTATGGATGTGAGGCCATTTGTGCATTTTGAGAGAGTGGGAGAAGACACGGATGACTGATCTGCTCTGATAATCTGTTAGGATTCAACTTGCATACAATAGTGCATAAATGTTTGCGGGAATTTCCCACTCTATAATCGCAAAACCTTGGGGAATGTGTAGAATTACACACAACGCTCCCACAATCCCGCAGCGAAACGCGGCAGCTAAACTCTAAAAATTCACAGCGTTTTATTATAGAAGTATGTTCATTATAATGTTATGTATATGGCAGTCCCAGTCATGGTTAATATTCATTAATATTCTGCATTGTTGTTTGTGCTGCTCGCGCTATGCCTTGAAGAGATAATCACCATAGTAGGCCTACAATGAAGCGCTTTACTGCAGCGTAACTCGACCAAATGCATCTTGTGTGAAATAATCTATACACGATATATATATATAAACAAAATATTGCAACTTACAGTTCCACAAAAATGCTGTGAGTGGCTTCACAAGCAAACTTGACTTTGCTAGTCATGAAGATATAACTCTGTTATATCTTATATTATATATCTTATATATCTTATATTCTTTCCAACAATGCACTGAAACATGAAGTAATCTTTTACAGTCGTGTTCTCATTATAATTTTATGTAGCCTATATGACAGATTAGTTCTGCACATGTTGCCCTTAATGGGACCTTTTTTGGGGGGGGGCGGGGAAGGCCATGAGAGTACCCCGTGTATCATGGTTTTTCGGTTTGAAGTCTTTTTCACTTTTGATCGATTTTATGCATTCTTGTTGAATAAAAGATTTCACCTTTGAACAGTAGTGTACATGCTGAAATCATTGTGATTTTAATTTAGCATGGACTCAAGAGCTCATTGATAATGTCATATGAACTGTTATATTTTGTATCTGA